ATATAATAAAGTGTAATAGCCATTTGCTCTTTTCAAAAAAAAAAAAAAATTAATAATTTTTTTACTTATAGATAAAAATAATAAAAATTTTTTTTTCAAAAGCAAGTATCCCATACTGTAATTATTATTTTTTATATAAGAAAAACAAAAACACTACTATAATAAAATTAACAATTTAAATTTATTAATTATTTATTTGCTTGTTAACTTTTAAATAAGATTAGAAAAAGTCTTTTACAAATATTTTTTTTTGATATTCTTAAGATTTTTTTAAAAAATATAAAGGCAATATGAAAAAAAGTTTGGATAATAAAAAGTAAAAAAAATTCTGGTTTCTTTAATTTTTAAAAATTACTAAAAAAAAAAAACTTTTTAAAAAAATAATATATGAAAAAAATTTTTTTATTATACTGTATATTTAACTTATAAAGTTATAAAACTATTTAATTAAATTAAATTTATATATTATAAATTTTTTAATGAATTTTTTATTTATAATTATTTAAAAAATTGATTATTTAAATTTAATTACAAAAAAATATCTTTATATTATTATAACTTTTGAATTTTAAATTTTATTTAAATATATTTTTTGTTAATTTTTATATAAGTTTGAAATAAATAAATAAATAAATAATAATTTCAAAAGTTGTTTACATATTATATTTATCTATTCATTTGTTTTATTTGTTAAATAGTTATTGAACTTAAACAATTTTGGTTTTTTTTATTTCATATTGTATTATTTACAAGTAATAAATATAATAATTAATTGCTATTCACTTTCTAATATTATTGATAAAAAAAGAATTTAAAACTATTATTCGAAAATATTCAATTTAAATTTTTTGTAAATTAATCTAATAATAACTTTTTTTTCTTTCAGCATAACTATTAAAAAACAGAAAAATGCGAGTAGTTAAAAATAAATTCTAATTATGCATTTAATTTCCTTGTACTTAATTTTTTGTTTACAATCATGCCACTAACTCATTTTGGATAGGACATTGCAATATGCAATTTACTCGTCGATCCTTTACGTAAAGTTCTAGGTTAAATTTATTGATGTGATGTATGATGCATTAAATAAACTCTATTTTTGATTTTGTGCAATGTTACATGAATTAATTAAATCTTTGAAGATTGATGACTATGAAATGGTAAACGCCTCCTCCTCGTCGGCAAGATGATTGTATGGTTTTTTATTTGATCCCACAGTCTGTTTTATATTTTCAATATCATCACCATAATCATCATGATCATCACAAATTTCAAGTTCCTCTAATTCATCAAATGTTAAGCATCTGTATCTGATTCCTTTTATGTCAACAATCTGTACATTTTCGTTATTATTGCAATCGTAGTCATTTAATCCATCTTCATGGATATGTTGCTCACTCTCTTCTTCATCTTCGATATCCTTTATGGTTTTTCTTGCTGTTATCCATACATAAATAATTACACCGATACCAATCAGAAATCCGCACGCCATCAGTAAATTATTATATGAACCCAAAGGATCATTATCGTGTTTTTGCAATGTTCCATCATCTAACACGTGAGATATGCCCATGCGAGCTGAGAATGATGAAATATTACTGCCTATCCAGACATGAATCACAAGTTTGAAAAGTGATAATGCGGTAGCACTAGTGAATGCGGAAAGTGATATGTGTGTTGCTGATAGTAAAGTATTTAACATGTTATACGGATATGGAGCAAGGCGTATGAGAAATAAAAGCTATATAAAAATAAATAAATAAATGAATGAATAATAATATTTCGTACAAAATTAGCAATAGAAATATTTACCTTGAAACTTTTTTTATCAACAGCCTTGATCACTGCACGCATCGACTTGTTTTTATTTAAAATCCTCCTAACTGGTCCCTTGAACCATCTTCTACTCAACACAAACACAGTCACAGCCCCAGTCAATGCAGCTAGGTATGATATAATAAATCCTATGGCGAATCCATACGTAAATCCCGACAGTGTTATCAGTGTACTATATCCAATTACTAATGGGAAGGTTGTCGCGAATATTAGGCCAAATATTATTAACGCACCACTAAATTTATCAGCGTATTATATGACATAATGGAATTTCGATTAATTGATTATTAAAGCTAGATCACTTAAACTTGGCCATTTTCGACCTACCTAAATCCCATAGATCTCATCAAATATGCAAGTTGATCCAAAAAAGTGAAAATCTGTTTTCTGTATACCAAGAATAGAGATAAAGTTGTCAAAGAAACAAGTCCCCATACTGCAAAGAGCAACCATGGTTGAATCTTTTTGGGTATTCTAATTTGACCGAGTTTTTTCCATTGAAGAAAAATCGTTTCTAACGAAGAAAAAGGTGATATTTTTCTATGCTTAAATCTATTTAAATTTGTTTTATGTGATTGGGAGAACATATTAAGTTGTGGATTTGACGAATCGTCGAATAGTGTTGATTTTTGAGTTTGGGATATTGGGGGTAAAGAATTGACAGTCAAAGAAATAATTGAAGGATTGGGGGTTGGTGACCGCAGCACCGCTGAAGTTTCGGTCGAAGTGGTCGTAGCCGTCTTTTGGGCTAGTGCTATGTCAAGTTCTTTTAGCATGATCACATTCGTACTTAGAAGGTCGCCAAAAAGCATGCGCTTAGCCTTTGTGGCAAGGTTCTACTTGTTCTACATCCGCAAAAAAGATATACGTCTATATATATATATATATTTCTGCGTGAAAAAATAAGTTGAACAGGAAAAAGCAAGAGCAAAGTAACATTTACATGCATGTATGACAACGTGTGAAACACTATTGGTAGCGTTGAAGGAAGAAATATGTATTGACTAAAAAATGTAGATCTGCGTACATTGCAATTTCCAATTCATTTAAACAAGATATTTCTAAAGATCAAAACGTGATAAGTTTAAAAAAAAATCCCCTTTCTTAGTAAAAGTCGGGTTTTAAAAACTTTCAGAAGATCGTGCATTCCCGTAAATGGTACATGTTTTCCAAATTAGGTAAAGACATTTTATTTTATTAAAAAAAACAAACAATATAAACTTTTAGTTTAATAAATAATTATTCGTTTATTTTTTAATTAAAAATAAAAATATTTTTTTTATTTAATAAATTAGAATCAAAATAATAAATAATTAATAATTGAATTTTAATAATATATATAATGAATAAATTATTTATTTAACAATATATTTAAAAAAATTTTATATAATATATACAGTATATTAAAATAATGCTAATTAAGTTTATTACTTATTTAAAATTTTAAATAAATTAATATAAAAAAAAACAAACTATAATTTTAACAAATTGCTTTTAAAAAGTTTTGCATATAATTTTAACACTTTGTTTGGATTTTTATATTAAAAAAATTTAAAATAATAATGTTTTTTTTTATTAGTTTTAATATCTATTAATATATAGACTGTTTTAATATTTATTTAATTTATATACAGTGGGTGGACAAAAGTTTATGGACAACTTTAAAAATTATAAATTAAATTAAATTAATAAAAAATTAAATAAATAAAAAATATATTTAAAATCTTTAAAAACTAAACTTTTAAATAA